ATAGTTTAAAATAACAGTTATTAGATTTAATATTATTAATAAGCTTTTTAATTTATTTTATAAAATATGATGTATCAAAAGTGATGATATGATCTATATATAACTTGTATAAGGTTACTTTTATACTATACTAGCAAATAGCACACAAGCTTTTATACACATATTTAGGTACTGTCTAATCTAACTCTAACCTTCTTGTCTGTACATCCATTAAGCTGTTACTTATTTCAGAATATGTTACCTGACTGTAAGGCTTCAGAAGCTCTTTTGCTAACTAACTACTTATATTTAATATTTGCTAATAGGGCTTATCTTTGTAAAGTTTATTCAGACTTCAGTACTAACTTTATAGCATATTTCTAGTACTTAGCTATACTTTGCTTTAGACTTCAGACTCACAATCAAGATAACCCAAAAGGACTATGTCCAGTTCTTGGTATTCTAAAAGTTTGCTTTCCAAGATTCTTTTTCTTTGGTTCAAGACTTTTAGTGTTCTGATTGGTGGTATCTCTCATCTGAGGTTTTTGCCTATCTGATGCCTTTCACATCAGTATTTATTTCCTAGGTTTAGTCTTTACAGTAGTACTATTGAAGATCTGTACTACCTCTCTACTTAAGTCTTTCCAAGTAGGCTCTGGCTTTCTAGTTTTATAAATTTACATAATTACAGAAACTTATCTTGTATTTGCACTGCCCAATACTGATTTGCATTTCTTTATATAACTCAACATTGCGCAGATGCTCTATAATCTGTCAGTCATGCTAGTGTGACTATAGTTACAGATATTTTATTCTAACTGATCGACAGAATACTATTGCTATAATACTGCCTATGTATTACATAGGAGATTATTCAAATTTTTACTATTAGTAGATTTTGAACTACTACCTACTATTTGAAAGATTGACAACATATTTATTTTACTAAGTTGCCACACCTTCAATATTAATTATATAATATTTATATAATAAAAATATTTCAAAAAATCAATAAGTTTTTGTAAAATAACTTTTTTAGCCTATATTATCTTTTTACTTGTTATATATTTTTTTACTAAGCTTTTAGCTTTATTATTCTATTAATTTTTACTGTGGCTTTTGATCTTAACTAACTTTATTTGAATGTTTTTTGTTCTAATAAGATCTCTAATTTTTATTATCTATATTGCATTCTTCTTTTTGAATTTTATTTCTGTCTATTTGTTCTAAATCTTTTTTAATGTTTCTTATTACAGCATTACTATATATATATACTTCTATTTGTTTTTATCTTGATATTATTAAAATTGCTACCTATATTGCTATTAGCTTAGCTATTGTTAATGTTTGCCATCCTTTTAGATTTAATATTACCTCTTTTTTATGCCATTTTTGTGTTTTATTTATTTGCACCAATCCTATACCTATACTATTTTTAATTACTGTATCTTCTTTAGTTTTTATGTTTGCTGCTCTATTTGTGTATATTATATATTTGTTCTTGTTTCTTATTATATTCTTTTTTAAAACTTTTATTATTTCTTGACTAATGTTTTTTTTTTAACTTTTATTATTCAATAACTTCTACTTCTAGATCTTCTATTGTTCTTAATCTTTTAAGTCTTTGTTCTCTAATTTTTAGTTTATTTGTTTTTATTATTTCTATTATCTGATTCTTTGCTATCTTAATCTTGTTGCTGTCTTTTTTTATTAATACATTTAGGATCATATTAATTTTATTGTTTATTCTTATTTATTGCTGACAGCTACTTCAATCTGCTTATCTTTTCTTGTACAATCCTTACATTTCTTAATTTTGATAGCTTTCTTTGTTTTGTATTTGCCAGTGTTTTACTAATATATTTTTTTTCTTTTTAACTATTTTTTCCAACTGTCAGTAGTTTGTGCACTATATGCTATCTATTTTTTTATTTTTTTATTTGTTAAAATATATTCCAATCTTATTTGCATTGCTTGAGTATTTTGCTTGTTTGTTTTAAATTGTTTTTTAACTTTTTTGCTTTTTAGTTTACTAAGTACATTTTGTTCTATTATCTTAAACTATTCAGCTTTTTTTTTTTGCTTGATAAGTCTTAACAAATCTTTAACTGTTGCTATATGATTGGCTTTTTTTTGTATTAAGCAACTGATTTAGGTATATTAAGCCTGTTTCATTTATTCTAATTTTGCTTCTTTTTTATAACTGAATATATACAAGCTTTTTTATTTTAGTTTCATATCTAAGCATTGTCTATAGATCATCTTCTGTTTTTATATTTATATTAAGCTTTTTTGCTTTTAATAATATTAGGCAAGCTAGGTTACTTTTCTAACCTTTTATGTTTTTTAACAACTCTTCTATTTTTCATATGTTTTTTGTTAAACTTGTTCTTTAGCAGCCTTTTGTTATTTTCAATTTTATTAATTATACAAAGTTATTTTGTTTATTTCAGTATTGTTATTAAAATTCTAGAATTCTACTAAAAGTTCAGAATCTTCCAACCTTCTAGTAGTTTTAGTAAAATTTTTACTAGAAAAATTTTTTTACTAAAACTCATATAAGATTAACCAATAATAGTAAACAGCAATAATCAATAAAAATACATATATTTCATATGATTTTAATATAAAAATCTTTACAATTGTAGCATATAAGAATATTAATATATGGTCCAGTCTGGTTCTAGTTTATTTTAGTCCTAAACTAGTTAGAAAGTAGTTCAATACAGTAATATACATTACAGATAATTGATGAATTATTCTGTTTAGATCAATATAAATTAACTGATTATTTACTAATTTTATTTAAAATTTACTGATCAGAGTTCTATTAATTACTCAATTAGTAATAAAATATCTGTAAAATTACTGCTAATAAAAATATTTTTCTTGATTTATTTTTAATTAAATTTTATTCAATATATCAAAAATGACATCTATTTATATCAAGTAATTTTTTAACTAGTTTGAATTGATTCTTGGTGGTCCTGATTCAGGATCAGTACCAAACTAGTTTCTTTTATACCACTTAATATCTCTAGTAGTATATATACAAGAATGCATGTTAATTAAATTTGCATAATTCAAAAAAAGCAAACAATTAATAACAAATTTATAATTTTTAGTGTTCTTTTATTTTATAGTATTTTGTTGATCTGTTACAATTTATATATTGCTGTTAATATCAGTAAATAGTTTCTGAAATTTAAACAAAATATGTCAAATATATATTTAAAAGTTTTTTTATTCCTTTATTTTTTTTTTTGTATAATTTTAAAATAACTGTATAATTTAAATAATAGATAAAGTTTCAAGTTTTTATTTTAACAGTTTGCAAATTTAGAGTTTAATTATTTAATAATGCAAGTTGGTTGCTAACTTTAAGTGTTGCTACCAAACAATAGATCATAATTAATTTTTAGTAGAAATAAGACTATGCATAACAGGATAATAGTATATTAAAAAGTATTCAAAACTTACTTATCATTATTCATATAATCTGGCTTTTGAAATTGTACACTAAATATATTATATAATTTTTATTTTACTTGATTATCTACTGCTAGATGCTTATAATTATTTAACAAATCACCTTTCATATAATTATGAGGATTGTTCTATTGTTTCTTTTTTTCTTCTTGTTTAGAAATCTCCTTATTTATCAATATTTACTTCTAGTCATATAATTGGTTTTCCTAATTATCAGCATTTGTTATATCTAATAATTCATTATACAATCTATTGTTTTTATCTGTATTTATATTTAATTCAATTTGGTTATCTGTAGGTTGATCTGTAGTTTTACTGATAGGTAATGCACTAGATTAGTTAAACATGATATCACAAGTATGAATTTGTTTTTTTACTCAAAAAAAGTAAATTAAAGCACAGATTTGAATTATAGCTAGTATTTTATCATTCTAAATTTTTTTTTGTTAAAAAAAAAAAAGAGTTAATTTTAAAACAAAGAACTAAGAAAAATCTTATATAGAGATGGCAACAATGGTTGTGTAAAAAAATCCTATTGAACTTTATAATCTTTTTATAGATGCTGCATTAACATATATTTTAAATAAGCATATAGCTAATGGTTTTAACTTTCTAGTTGAATTAGAAATGAATTTTCAAAATTCCAATACATTTTGTCCAAATTGTTTATATATTGCAAAGTTAAAAAAATATTTATGTTTTCTATAGTTATTTAGCTTAAGCAAGATGCAAGTTGGTTGGCATCTAAACTATGCTTTGTAATAATAAATAACAAATTAAACTATATATATAAAATTTAAATTTTCATTATTATTATTAAACTATATAATATAAATATTTGGATTTAGAAAAAAGATAATAATAATAATAGTTGTTTTTATTGTTTTCATCTTTGTTCTAACTGCAGAATTATAAGTTGAGCTAAATTATAATCTAAATGTTTTTTCTAGAGTTCCAATCCATTATCTGTTTATTCTTTTATCTATCAGATATCCAGATATCAAATAGATAATCAGATAAAATGAATTAATAGATAGATAACTGAATTATCCAATAAATTATTCGAATTAATGCAAGAAGTAAGTATTAATGCAAGGAGTACATATTGATCTAGCAGTTGATCTAACAGTTAATGTAATGAGTATTATATGATATAACAGTTGATCTAATAGTTGATCTAATGATTGTTCTAACAGCTAATCTAACAGCTAATATGATAAGTGTTATATAATATAATGGTTGATATAATGGTTGATCTAATAGTTGATCTAATGATTTATATAGTAAATAGAATGAAGAAAGCAGTGAGAATTTCCAGATTCGTTAGCATATTTGATTTCTCAGATTACTGTTTTATTAAATACAGATAAGTCTTCGAACTTATCATCATCTGTTTAATATATCCTATTATTACTTCAATTATTTAATAGGTACAACTTTATATTTAAACATTCATCTAATTGGCTAATGTAAGTCAATTGCCTGGGTAACTTATTTATACAGTTTAAAGTACTTTTTAAGAATGTAACATTTTACTAACAAAAATTATTGTAAGCCATCAAAAGAATGTTTATATTTATTGCAAAAATAATCAGTAACTCAAGAACTTTACTTAAAGACAAATATTTTTACTATTTACTATTATATTAACTATATATAAGCTCTAAATGCTAGAAACAGTCAACAAAAAAAGATTAAGATGTATATATAAGATCTAAACCTATTTATACTATTTAATATACTATTACAATAAAAAGCTTATACTAATATTCTTATTTTACATATTCTGAATATTATATGTAGAGTTAAAATATTAGTAATTTTGGGTTAAGTAGTAGGTTGATAATATGTATATAGAAAAATATTATTGTTTCATTAAATATGTAGGCAAGGCCATGTTGTACAATATCTCTAATAAAAGTTTTAATATTAAAATAGGATTAAATTATAATTTTTCAAAAAATAATAAATAAAGAATATAGTTTCTCTAATAATTTATTCATATATTAACTCTTTAATAGGTTCAGGTTTTTAATAATAAATAATATATTTATCCAGTTATTTATTCACTTTATGCATATCTATCTGTTTTCTAATTTTATGTGATAAATTATTTGTATATAATTATTGGTTTTTAAGTTTTTTAAGCAAAGTTTTCTTTTGTTTTTCTATATATAAAATGATAAATAGTTTAAAAATTACAAAATTATGTAATTTGATTAGTTAATTATCATGGGCATTCACAGATAAGTCAACAAAATCAACTAATTATATGAATGTCTTCCTATAATGTATGACTAGAGATACTAGTATAATTGGTAAACAGTAAAATAATAAAATAGTAAAATAGTATTATTACTAATGCCAACTTAGCTCTAATAATTCTGACCTAAATTTTTATCAATCTACTAAATTTTAATTTTACCATTTCATCAATTTTACCTAATTTTTATTTTGATATAATTCTGATGAAATTACTTCACTATTTCATCTGGTAAAACTGGCATCTCTAGTAATAACCCATATAACCATATAAGTAATTAAACTTTCCTTTTTTAATAAATTAGACTTTTTATTTTAATAATCAATTTTAGATTGATCAGTCTTTAATATTATCAATCTCTTTTTATTCTTACAATAAGAGTAAAAAAACCCAAAACATCACCTCTACTAAAGAAAAGGTTTTAGAATTACAACAAATCTCATATGTAGAGAACACTGACAAGTGTACTTCAAAGTAGTTGCATTTAGTTGACAGATTTCATGAGACTATTAATTTCAAAAAAGGAATTGAAAAAATAGAGATGACAACAGAATTAGAAGACTTTTTTTGCAAATTTCTTACCTAGTTGAAGTGCTTGAACAGAAATGACTATAAGGTAGAGAGTATACACAACTGCTATGCTTCTATAGCTTATTACCTGAAAGAGAATAATAAAATCAAGACATGTAAGTCATGAAATTCATAATATTTCGGTAAAGCATTGAAGACTTTTGATGGTAAAATAAAAAATCTTTAAAGTATGTGTTTGGGCAAAACAGATTAAGTGTTTTCACTAACTGCTAGAAAGATTATTCAAATCCTTAATCATAAGAAAATACAGGTGAATACTAACAAAAGGTTGGTGTAATGAATTTTCTTTTGGCTATCAAAAGACAAGAATAAGTATAATGTCCAACATTTCTATATATGTAATATGCTAAGGTCATTGTTTTGCTGCTTTTTTCCAATCATATTCAAGTTTTTGTGATATCAGTAGCTATTTTAATTATTAATTCCAAATAAAATTCTATTTTGTTTGTTGTTTCATTTCTTATACATTTTCTTCTTATTGAAAATATCTTTCAAACTCTCTTATGTGTAACAAATAATTGCAGTGACAACTACTTAGTATATAAAATAAAATATGTTTATTTGAAAGCCAAGCAAACTTCAGTTTTTCTTTATTAAAGAATCTCTTAATTTCAAATATATAATTAGTCACATTATACTCTATATACAATAAATTCTACATACAATAAATCATGCATTATGCAAAAATTTCTGATCGTGCTATTGCAGCAGATAGATGTATATACTAACAAATATTATTTTTTGCAGGTTTTCCTATTAAAATAAGTCTAATTTGTTATATGATTTTAATAATAATCTGCAATAATACAGTAATAATGAGTTTCTATTGTATTGTATTTATAAGACAAATAAAGAAATTTAATTATGTTATATACAAATCATAGAAACTGCCCATATTAATATTCTGATTTAAATTACTATTCCTGATAATTTTAATATTTAATCTTTGTATATTTAGACTTAGATATTAATATACTATATGAACATACCTGCTTTATGATTAATAAATAGAAAAATAATAATAAACATTATTCACTACCTTACTATGAACATAGGACAGAATTGATTTATCATTTATTATAATTTGGTTTTTTATTAATTATTATCCAAAGCTTTTATGTTGTTTTTTCTAAAATGTAATTATACAAAAATGAAGTGTGCATATAGGCTGTAAAGCATAATCATGAAGATATTTATTATTCCTACTGTTCTGAGAAATACATAGTATTTAATATGTTATATGTAATATTTTTAAGACTATAAAAGCAATAAAATACTATTAATTATCTAATAGCATATATAAAGTAGCTTGCAATTCTCTTAGTCTAAATAGAAATTACATATTATAATTGTTAAAAATAATATATATATGCATATGATTTGTCAGTTTTGGGCATTTTTTTTTTGTTTTCAGTATTACTTTTTTCAAAATGTCAGAAAAACAATCCAGTAAGTCTAATTTAATTAAGTTTTCAAATAAAGAAAACATTCAAATAATTCTAATTCAATTAAATTGTTAAATAAAAAAAAAAGCTTTAAATAGAGATAAAAAATGCATCAAGATTAGTTAGATTTGGGATCACTTCAAGGAAGCTATAATTCAAGATGAAGATGAAGAAAAAATTCTAGTAATTGTTTGCCAAGAGAAAAATAATAATAATACTAATTGTAATACATCATATATCCATACTTGTGGGTCAACAGAAAATGCAATTATTTATCTTTGAAATGCATATAAAATAACCAAACATAAAAAAAATAAAGTTTGTTATTAAATATATTACTGAATTAGGTAATATTTAATATTAATAATATTACTAATTAGCTAATACTTAATATTTTTTTAATTAATATTAATAGAATAATAAGCAAAATGTATCAAATATTAAAAAACATTCTGAGGCCTAACAAACTCAATTAAGATAGTTGCTTACAATATGGATTATAAAAGATTTACAGCCCATTCATATTGTAACTAATGAAGCATTTTGTAAATTTATTAATGATTTAGATTCTGCTTTTATAATGCTATATGAAGAGACTGTTAAAAATTTAATTTATATTGTCTATAATTATAGTTTGCCAATTCTCAAAAAAAGTTAATTAATAAGGCAATTTTAGTATCATTATGTATAGATCTATAGATGACTTGTAGCCATCAGAGTTATCTCAGTGTTACTTGTTCTTTTATTAATAATAATTTTAAGCTATGTAAATTTGTTCTTACAATTAAATATATCTGATATCTTCATACAGCTGATCATATAAGTGAAATATTAGGAAATATCATAGATGAATGAAAAATTCAGAATAAAATGTTTATTATTACTACAGATAATAGTCATAATATAAAAAATGCTATATTAAATATGAATAAAGTTAATTAGATAAATTGTATATTGCATATATTACAACTTGTAATCGCAAAGAGATTAATTCTAGCAAAAGTATTGGTTAAAAGAATTAAACAGTTAATTAATTTTTTTATACAATCTAAGCAAAGTAAATAACTTGAAGAAGTTCAAAGGAAATTTCCTGAAATTCAAAATATAAATAATCCTAAAAATGAAAATAATAATAATAATAATAATTTTGAAGTAAGATATATAATATATATTTATTTATTTATATAATAATAATAATAATTTTAACATATTCTAATTTATTAGAGTGTCCAAAAAGTTTTTGAATACTTGCATGCAATAGCTGATTGCCCAATATGATAGAATTCTTCTTACCTTGTCTAGAATCAGCTTCTTAAATTAAGAAACCATATTAGCCTTCTTGTAAACTTATTTTCAATCAAATCTGATTCTGAAACTAAAAAAGATCTCAAATATTTAAAGAAAATTTTGCTTTTTGATAAGGAGTGGGATATAATAAATAATTTAGTAGAGATTCTTGAGCTGTTTGCTAAAGCTACTGATTACTTAGATAGAAATAATTATTGCACCTATTTGATAATAGTTCCTATTTTAATCGAGCTTAAGAAAAATTGTCAGTTATCAATCTCTAATAACAATAATATAGCAGATATTAATGATGATGATAATGACTTTCAAGACTTATTTGATGATAATAATGCTAGAACTGATAAAGAAGAAGAGGATAAACAGGCTTATACACTAATTAGTATAGATATTAATGAAATAAAAAATAATTTGTATAACAAAATAAACCATTATTGGTCTAATTTAACATCACCAAGTTCACTTTTACCTAGTCTTTTAGATCCCAGGTGCAAAAATCTATCTTTTGTCTCATTTGCTAAATGGTTTGCTACTAAAAATTTACTTAGTAATGAGTATGAAAAAATGAAAAATAATATAAACAAAGAGAAAAAAAATATTAAAACAGAGGTTAAATCAACTTCTGTAAAAAAAAAAACAAAAAGTAGCATTTTTTCTAGTTTTAAAAAACATATGCCAGTTATGGTTGAGGAGATTTCTAACTATCTAAAGCTTAAAAAAATTAATGTTGAATGTGATTTTTTCATGTAATGGCATGAGTGTCATAACAAATTTCCAGTTTTAAGCAGACTTGCAAAACAGTATTTAGCTATTTTTGCATCTTTAACAGCTAGTAAAAGGCTTTTCTCAGATGCAGAAAATTTAATAACTGCAAAGAGAACTTGTATAAGTCCTTTGCTATTTAAAAGATTAAGGGTAGGGGTGACATAGATCATTTGTCATATGATTTTTCTAACAAATAAAATTTTATATATAAAAAAAATATATAGTACTAATAAAACTTTTTAATATTATATTTAATTGTTACTAAAATTTTTTTTTTAAATATTAATAGTGAGGCCATGCTCTATCTTTATTGAATATTTAATTAAGATTTTATATATAGTACAAGTCTACTTTTAAAATATTATAGAAAGAATAGAAGCTCAGACTAATTTATCTGCAACCTAAACCAAATTGTTACTAAAATTTAATAGTATATAAATCTATATCTTCTAATTATTTTAATAAAATTTTATAATTTATTTTTAAACTTTTTTCACTAATCTTCACAACCAAAATTAGAACAGAAAGAAAATCATAAAAATCACAAAAGCTAGCAAGTAAAAGTACAGTTGTTAACTAAGCAAAGTTAAAGCTAGGAAGAAATTAGATATAGTTTATTAAAATATTAGACCAAGTTAACACCAATATAGTAGTTAGTTTTGATTTATAGAAAAAATTTTTGCTTTTTGACATAAATTTTTAGTTGAAAAAAAGAAAACACAAAAACCCTATACTGCAAATCACACACATGACATGTAAAGCAAGTCAGAGTAAACAGTAAACATAACAAAACAAATAAACAAATACACAATCTTGTAGATAAACAAATAAACATAGATATATATAGTAAAACATGTGTTGAATATATACAGATAAGATATAAAAATAATGCAAAGAAGTGTAATACAAAAAGTTCTATAGAGATTGACTGATATAAGAAATTAGAAAAGTATTGTGATATGTTTAACAAATCTGACAGAGTACAGAAAGAATTATTAGATAGTCATAAATCAAGAGTATTAAGAAAAGAAGAGGAATTGGCCAGACTAGTCAGCACTGAAGCAGTTTTAGTTTGTGTTTAGAAACTTAATTGAAATATATAATTACTATAAGTATGTACAAGTAAGAGGCATTGAGA